GCACATTTTAAAATGATAGACACAATGCATCATGTAGCTACAGTTTTATAGGAGTTGTTTTCAGATCTTCAATAATTTTTTCTTTAAATTTCAAAACAAAAACACCAAACATACAAAATAAAGAAGAATATTAAGAGCAGCAAAGGAAAAAGGCCAAGTAACATATAAAGGCAAACCTATCAGAATTACATCCAATTTCTCCATGGAAAATCTGAAAGCCAGAAGGACCTAGATAGATGTTCTACAAACACTAAGACATCATGAATGCCAGCCCAGACTACTATACCCAGCAAAACTCTAAGTCACTATACTTGGAGAAAATAAGATATTCCAAGACAAAACCATATTTACACAATACATATCCACAAATCAAGCCCTACAGAAAGTTCAGGAAGGAAAACTCCAACCTAAGGAGTTAACTACACTCACAATAATATAGGCAACAGATAATCACACTTTATCAAAAGCCAGAAGTAGGGGAAAAACCACAAAACCACCACCAAAAACAAATCCAAAAAAAGAAGAATTAATAATCAATGGTCATTAGTATCTCCCAATATCAATGGTCTTAAATCACCTATAAAAAGACAAAGGCTAACAAAATGGATATGAAAACAGAATCCATCCTTCTGCTGTATACAAGAAGCACACCTCACCTTCAAAGACAGATGTTACCTCAGAATTAATGGTTGACAAAAGATTTTCCAATCAAATGGCCCTAAGAAGCAAGCTAGTATAGCTAACGTACTGTCTAACAAATTATACTTCAAACTAAAATTAATCAAAAGAGATGAAGAAGGTCATTTCATATTCATCACAGGAAAAACCCATCAAGATGAAGTCTCAATTCTCAACATCTATGCATCAAATACAAAGGCACCCACATTCGTTAAAGAAACATAACTAAACCTCAAATCACATATTAAAAACCACACAATTATAGTGGGAGACTTCATATCCTACACTCGCCACTGGACAGGACTACAAGACAAAAGCATAACAAAGAAACTAACAGAAGTTATGAGCCAATTGGGTTTAACAGACATCTATAGAACATACCATCCCAACACGAAAGATAATAACTTTTTCTCACCGCCACATGTAATCTTCTCTAAAATCAACCACATACTCAGCAACAAAGGAAACCTCAACAGAAACAAAAAAATGGAATCACCCCCTGTATCTTATCCAATCACAAGAGCTTAAAATTAGAATTCAGCAACAACGCAAATTGCAGAAACCCTACAAACTCATGGGAATTAAACAATGCTCAATTGCATGACACCTGGGTAAAGGAAGAAATAAGAAAGAAATCAAGACTTCCTGGAATTCAATGAAACTGAAGGCATATACCCAAATCTATGGGCCACTCTGAAAGCAGTGCTAAGAGCAAAGTTCATATCATTAAATGCCCACATAAAGAAACTGGAAAATAGAAACACTAGAGAATCAGCGGCACAACTGAAAGCTCTAGGACAAAAAGCAGCAAACTCACCCAAAGCAGTAGACATCAGGAAAAAACCAAATTGAGGGCTGAAATCAACAAAGCAGAAACAAAGAAAACAATACAATGAATCAATGAAACAAAGAGTTGGTTCTTTGAGAAAATGAACAAGATAGACATAACTTTATCCAACATAACAAAAAGGCAGAGAGAGAACATGCAAATTAACAAAATCAGCAATGAAAAGGGGGACATAACAACAGACACTGGGGAAATCCAAATAATCTTCAGGTCATTCTTTGAAAACCTTGACTCCACAAAATTAAATGCAAAGGAAATGGACAATTTTCTGGATAGATATCACTTACCAAAATTAAATCAAGAACAGATAAGCATTTTAAGTAGATATCTAACCCCTAGCGAAATAGAAACAGTCATCAAAAGTCTCACAATCATTAAAAGCCCGGGATCAGATAGTTTCAGTGCAGAATTCTACCTGAAATTCAAAGACAAACTAATAACAATACTCCTCAAATCATTCCACACAATAGAAGCAAGAGGATCATTACAAAACTCTTTTTACGAGGCTACGATTACCTTAGTAGCCAAACCACACAAAGACACAACTAAGATAGAGAATTACAGACCAATATCCCTCATGAACATTGATGCAAAAATATTCAATAAAATACTGGCAAATCGAATCCAAGAATATATCAGAAAAGTCATTCACCATGATCAAGTATGCTTCACCCAGAGATGCGGGGATGGTTCAAGATACAAATATCCATCAATATAATCCACCATGTAAACAATCTGAAGAAGAAAAACCACACGATCATCTCACTAGATGTTGAAAAAGCCTTCAACAAAATTCAACACCCCTTCATGATGAAGGTCTTGGAGAGATCAGGAACAACAGGAACATTCCTAAACATAATAAAGGCAATATACAGCAAACCAACAGCCAACATCAAACTAAAGGGAGAGAAATGCAACGTGATTCCTCTAAAATCAGGAAAGAGACAAGGTTGCCAGTCTCTCCGTATCTCTTCAATATTGTACTTGAAGTTCTAGCTAGAGCAATAAGACAACAAAAAAAATCAAGGGGATACAAATTAGAAAAGAAGATGGAAGATGTCAAACTGTTACCATTTGCAGATGACATGATAGCTTACATAAGTGACCTCAAGAATTCTACCACGGAACTCCTACAGCTGATGAACACTTTCAGCAAAGTGGCAGGATACAAGATTAACTAAAAAAAATCAGTAGCTCTACTATATATAGACAAGAAAGGGTCTGAGAAAGAAATCAGAGAAACATCACCTTTTATAATAGTCACAAACAATATAAAATATCTTGAGGTAACTCCAACCAACCAGGTGAAAGACCTATATGTCAAGAACTTTGAGTCATTAAAGAAAGAAATTAAAGGAGATATCAGAAAATGAAAAGATCTTCCATACTCTTGGATAGGTAGAATCAATATAGTAACATTGACAATCATACCAAAAGCAATCTACAGATTCAATGCAATGCCTATCAAAAATCCAAGCATAATTCTTTACAGACCTTGAAAGGACAAATACTCAACTTTATATGGAAAAACAAAATACCCAGAATACCCAAATCAGCCCTGTACAATAAAGGAGTTTAATAAGGTAACACCATCCCTGACTTCAAGATGTACTATAGAACTATAATAATGAAAACAGCTTGGTATTGGCACAAAAAATAGACTGGAATCAAATTGAAGACACTGATATTAACTCACACACCTATGAACACCTGATCTTTGACAAAGAAGCTAAAACTTTACAATGGAACAAAGAAAGAATCTTCAACAAATGGTGCTGGCATAACTGGAGGCAGGATCCATGCACCAAACTTAATTTCAAATAGATCAAAAACCTCAACATAAATCCAGCCACACTGAACCTCTTAGAAGGCAAAGTGGGAGGGAACCTTGAACAACTTGGCACAGGAGACCACTTCCTGAACATAATGCCAGGAACACAGGCACAGAGATGGTCAATTAATAAAAAGGACCTCCTGAAACTGAGAAACATTTTAAGGCAAAAGACACATTCAACAAGACTAAACGGCAGCCCACAGAATGGGAAAAGATCTTCACCATCACCACAGCCTAACAGCTGGGAACAACCATAGGACCAAACCAGGCCCCCTAAAGTGTGGGTGTCAGCTAGGAGCACTGGTCAGTCTATGAAGTCTCTGGCAGTGGAACCAGGATGTATCCCTAGTGCGTGAGCGCACTTGGGGAGCCTATTTCCCATGGAGGGATACTCTCTTAGCCTAGATACACAGGAGAATGGCTAAGCCCTGTTCCAAATGACTTGACAGATTTTAAGGATCCCTCATGGAAGACCTCACCCTGGATAAGGGATGGGATAGGGGGGTCGGTGGGGAGCATGGGAGGATGAGAGGGAGAGGGAACTTGGATTGATATGCAAAATAAGATCATTTTTAATTTAAATAAAATGTATATAAGATCAATAAAAACTTAAATAAAAAAATAATGTTCATCTGGCAGACCATACAGTCACGCAAAAACTATCAGTATAGCATTCAGAATTGTTAAGGTGACCATGATTCTAAGAATGGTCAGTCTTCTGAACTGGCTCCCCAACTATGGTCAGTAGTGTTTAAGGTAGATATGTGATTAGTCAGTGCACAATGGTGTTGGAGTTTATGAGTGATGCAGGAAATAGAAATATCATCAATAAAGTGCTCCCCAGTGCTGTCTATGCCGGAATATCACAGTAAACCAAGAATATAATGTACTGTCACCCTCAATTGCCAGGTGAAGAAATAGGCCCTTTTATTCTCCAGGTATAAACTTTCAGAATTCCAGAGCCTAAGCCATGCACCTTTTGCAGTAACTCAGATCTCTTGAGAATACTACAGAGCTCACTACACACACACAACTGTGAAATTAGTCCAAGGTTTAAGAACAGACTGTCTTGAACACTCAACTTTTTACAGAAGCATCAGTATTCTGCACCAGAGGTTAGTAACATCCCTCCTTGTTCTACAACAGTCTGATCCTTAGGGAAAAGTTCTCCTGTGAACTAAAACACACCTTCAAATACAAAGGACTGTGTCACCTCTCAGCTTTAATTTGAAGGATGCTCAGAGCTAAATTAACATTTTTCTTTTCAAACTATAGAGTCCCTTACTACAGCTATTTCTCTCCCATTATCTTTAGCTTGAATTTCTGGTTATTCGTGTTTTTCTTAACTTGTAACAATATTTTCTATAAAATAGGCCTTTCAAAACATATGAGAAAAATTTATTTGCTTATTGAGTGTTCAGATTGACTTGAAATTTTCATAAAGTAGTCATTTTTCTAAACTAAGATAAGTTGGGTTGCAAATTAAGTCAGTTGTTCCCAAGTTGTAACTTTGGAAGAAGTTTAACACATCTAGTAGGGACCGTTAGTGACAAACTGCCTGAGTTCAGCACAGCATGACAAACACTACACTAACTGAAGCCCCATCAAATGAAATACAAGGTTTAAAGTTTTCCTGTTTGCCTTTAGTGAGTCCACGTTTTTCCTCCTTGGCTTTTTCTTGGTGTTTCCCTTCTGTGTCACTTTTAGTCATATCCACGTTATCCTCCAGTCCTTCCTTTGGGAGTGTTTTGGGAAGAAAGAAAAAGGGGATGCTGGTGAGGATATTCACTCCGGCACAGATCAAAAAGCCGACCCACCAAGCACCGACCCAGCGTGTATCCGTGGGAGTTATGGTCAGGTCACCTGTAAAGAAATACAGATAATTTATTAGTTTCCACCATTCGTTCTTGTATAAACCATAGAAAATTATAAGGATCATAATGCCGTCTAAGGACAAAATTGTGAATTATATGTAAACTTGTGACACATTAGTCATCGTTCTTATTTGGGCCTTGAACTTGTGATTCTCTGCCTCTGCTCCCTAAATGCTGGGGTCAAAGGCATCTGCTACCCTCTGGGCGAATTCAGACATTGAGAAATTGTGTCTGAGGTTGACCAATTGTGTGAAGTTGAAATTAAGAAGAAAAATTTCTGAATTACTAGCATATCATAATACTGTAAACTTCATTTTAAAAAGGCAGAAAAATGTCTGAGTAATATTTAAGGAACTGGTTTTATCCTTATGTGTTTATACCTTGCAACATCGCAGTGGGTGTAGAAGGGGACTGGAGAGACAGCTCATTGGCTGAGAGTTACTGCTCTCTGGCAGAGGTCCTGAGTTCTATAGCCAGCACCCACATGGAAACTCACTACTGCCTGTCACTCTAATGGCAGGACATCGGAACCCCTCATCTGACCCCAGCAGGCACCCACTCACAGACATAAACAAATGCATAGAGATAATAAGACATCACATGGTATCCAATTTTTACAGTTTGTGTGTGCCTTAAAAAATTAGCTGACTTTGTCTACCAATAGAGGTGATATATTTTCCAGCAGTAAATGACTATTTCTGTGTGTCTTGTGAAAACTTTTTAAATTGATGTTTATCAAATAACAGAACTATCTCTTTCATTATTCATAGTGACTGCCTCATTGAGAAAGACCTATGTGAGTAAATCTTTTGAGACTAAGGGTGTGGCTGCAGTGTGGTTGGAGAGTGGTGGGTTTTTTATCAGAAGTTGACATTTCATCGTTGCCTCTTCTTCTCTTAGATCTGAGTCTGTAAATGGTCATAATCTGCCTAACATAGGACCAAAGGAGGCAGTGGCATAGCAACCTAGAGCATTCTCTCACACTCTAAGAAATGTACTGTGTAAATAAAATGTATTGTGTTACCTGTATTCACAGACCCAGTGTCTACATAAATGTTTGCACAGAAGGATCCCAACAAAAGTCCAATCAAAGGGCCGATGATCATTCCTGTTTCCAAAATCCCTGGAAGTAAACAAAGACAGGAAGTTACACACAAAAAAATGCTTACATAAAAAAAGCCTTGAGATTGAATTGTTTTAAATATTAGATTTCTTTCCATTCCTTTGTAGAGCTGGGTATCAAATCCAATAATCTAGGCAAGTGCTTTACAATGTACCTACACCCAACTACCCCAGATACTTTATAATCAATGTATAAAAATTTAAGCTTGGTGTGTATCTTGTTAGTTCATATATATAATATATATGTATTGTTGCATGTCTGTATGTTGGCTTCTATAAATATTAACAAAGAAGCTCCCATTGTTTCTATATGTAATGTTCCCCAGAAGCTCATATGCTACAGACTTGTTCCCCAGTGGCAACCACTGGGGTCTGAAGGAACCCTTCCGATGCAGGGCGTGGTGTTGAGTCTTCAGGTCATCAGGAGAAGAACCACAGCCCCTTCCTCTTTCTGCTTTGCTTCCTGGTCACAAAATGAATGGTGTCACTCCTCCCTTCCTTCCACCATAATGAGCTGCCTCATGACAGACCTCCAAAACAGACAGCCCAGGGACATAGACTGTGAAGGGCAAGAAATCTTCTTTTGCAGTGGTGTTAATGACTGCTGACTCACAGTTGATGCTTCTGTGACAGCCTCTTCTCCCCACACAACCCCTCCAAAGAAATGAAGCAATCTAGAGAGTAAGCCATTGAATAGACCTCTTAAAATTTGTGATAGGGATCCTGAAGTGTAGCTCTTCACAGTCGATGTTTTTTGGCAGGACTAGAGGTGGGCAATGACTCTTAAAAGGTTGGCCAAAGGGAGATTGACCATGGTCAACTGAGAATATGGCTAACACAAATTGAACTTAGTATTGTTTTCTTTTTTCTTCTTCTTTTCTTTAGAGGAGGTCACAAGGGAGGAGGGGTAGCCTTGAGAAAACTGGGAAGTAAATATGATTGGGATATGTGCATTATGGGAAACTCATAAGAACCAATAGAAATACCAAAAGTGAAGATAGTGACCCATGATGGAGGTCCCCGGTGGCTCCCAGGGAGCATGTTGGAATTAGAAAGGAGCTGAGAAGAGTGAGAGGGTAGGAGTCAAGGCAGACAGCATAGAGCAGAAAAGAAATCAGTGGAGGCTGGAGATCGTGTAGGAATCCTTGGATAGAGGGCATCAAACATCAGGGAGTGTTTGAGAGAACAAGGAAGACAGAGGGTTTGGTATTGAGAAGCCAGGCTCACAGAGGAGGACTAACCCATAGAACCACACAGTAAGAGGAAAAGAAAAATATGAAGTGAAGAGAAGGCAGGACGTTGAAGTTGTTCATATCTGTTTTGTCTGTGAGCAGGGATGGCTCAGCAGAGATACTGAGCTCAGGACAGCAGGGAGATGCTGATGGTGCTTTCAAAGGAGCCACGTGAGGTTGTAAGGGACCGAGGAAATGGAAATAATAATAAAATAAGAAATAAGACAAGAGGGGATGGGGAAAGGGATATATAGGAGTTGAGGGGGAGGGAACAAGGGGAAACAAGAGAAGGGAAACTGCGGTCAGTATGAAAAATGTAAAAATAAAATTAAAATTAAAAAAATAAAAAAGAAGGCCAGGATAGCATCCAAGAGAGGTGCTGTTGTGAAGACACTCCCTTTCTTTGGAAGACACATTACAAAAAATTCACCACAGCTCATTCTGCTTTTGAAACTTTGCAAGTTTCATTTCTGTTGCTGTGAGAACATTTAACCTTGGCGAGAATGGGATTCTTCTTGCTTACAATTGCATCACAACAGAGAATCCGCAGTAGTGGGAACTTTGAAGGGGGAGGGACAGCATGCACTCTGTGTCTTTGCTCGCACAGTTGTGCTCAGCTCTTACATAGCTCATGATTCCTTGCCTAGGGAATGGTGCTGCCCACACTGGTCTGGCTCTTCTCACATCAATTAACTTAATTAAGACAATCTTTTGCTGACATGTCCACAGGGAAACCCACTAGAGATAAAACTTCATTAAAACTCTCCTCCCAGGAAGCTCTAGGCTGTGTCCAGTTGACGATTAAGTCTAAGTGTCACAGAGTCCCTTTGAAAGCATGGCTCTGGAAACGCGGAAAGGAGGTTGCTCTGATCATGTCTTCCATGGGACTGACTGTCATCATACTGCAAGAACGTTGGCTGCAGCAAAAACACAGAAACCTGTAGTGATGTTTTGTTTGTAACCTAACAAAGTTTGCCCGAAGATCTGAAAAGCAAAGCAATCAAGCCACTGCAGAGTTCTCACGTCTACCAAGGCTAACACCAAATAGGGGTGATCCTGTACTCAGAGTGACTGCAGACTGCAAGCTCTCCACCAAAAACTTCAGACTTTCCTGAGACTGCACTGAGCTCCTGCCTTATATTCCTCTCTACTGCTGGGATTAAGGGTGTAAACTGTTTCTTTTTATACTGATTCACTCTCATGCAGCCCATGGTAGACTTGAACTCACAGAAATCCATCTGCCTCTGTCTTCTGAGTGCTGGGATTAAAAGTGTGGCCACCACTGCCTGTTCTTTATAGCTAACTAATTAGTGATTTAGGTATGTGATTAACAGGTGGCTTAGTTATTATTAACTGACTGTGTGGTTAACTAGCGGCTTAGCCATGCTCTCTGATCTTCAGGCAAGCTTTATTTGCTAGATTACAACAAAATATCACTACAGAAATCAATATAGCCCTTGGAGGCAGCAGGGACCATGGACATCAACATGGCCACAGGCAGCAAGCAGCACAGGCCACACATATCAACATGACTCCAGGTGGCAAGATGGACCAAAATCATATACATGGCCTCCAAGGGCAAAATGAACTCTGGAGGTATTTCAAGGATTCCTATTCCAGAAAAAGAATCACTGTCCATCTCTGACATCCTATCATTGTTCAGAGCCTGGGAAATCCTGCAGTTGGGCAATGTGTTGGAGGTTATTACCTGGAAGATACATGTGTGTTTCATGATAATATCAAGTAATACAACCAAAGGGATGAACTTGGATATTTGTCAAAACTATGAAGAACCCTATCTAGGCTGAGAGGTTATAAGGAAGGAAAATATGTCATTAACTTCATCGAGAAGCAGAGCCCCAAGTAGTAAAAGAGAGCAGATGGAAAATAAGAAATAACTTGGTGAACATGGTAGAGGAGACATGATTAAAACCATCTTTGGTAAAGCTTAAACTACAAGAATGTTTATTACAATGCAACACAAGAAAAACACTGCAGGGCCAGGCAGATAGCTCAGCAGGTAAAGGCACTTTTCCATGAAACCTGGACCCGAATAGTCCAATTCAATTCCCAGGCCAACTACCAACAGCTGTCTTCTGACCACCACAGTTTAATGCAAGTTTACACACACACACACACACACACACGCACACACACACACGCACGCACGCACGCTCGCACACACACAGGAGGGGGGGCTAAAAATGTAAAACTGTATTTTAAAATACTACAGACACAAAATGCCCAAAATTGAAGTCATAATTACTTATAGAAGAAAGAATGAGACTCTAAAAGAAGGAAAAAAAAACCAATAGGATTTACAGAAGACTTTCCAGAAAATGTTGGTGAAGCTCTAATGGTTTAAAGGTAGTGTGGCAGCATCAGAGGAGTATAGTGTCTGCAGTCCATTGAACAATCTTATGAACTCTGCATACAGTTCTGGAAACTACAAAACATTCAAATCAATCCTCCCAGAAAGGTTGATTTTCAAATTTATGGTGGCGGTTTGAAGAAAATGACTCCCAAAGGGAGTGGTACTGTTAGAAGGCATGACCTTGTTGGAGTAGGTATGGTCTTGGTAGAGAAGTGTGTCACTGTGGAGGTGGACTTTGAGGTCTCAGACATGCTCAAGCCATGCCCATTGAGACAGTCTATTTCCTGTTGCCTGCATATAAACATGTAGCAGCTACTTCTCCAGGATCCATGTCTGCCTGCATGCTACCATATTTCCCACCATGATAAAATGGACTAAACATATGAAAATGTAAGCCATCCCAATTAAATGTTTTTCTTTCATAAGAGTTACCATGGTCGTGGTGTCTCATCACAGCAATAGAAACCCTACTTAAGACACTTACCAATGTATAAAGGAGAGTTTTCAGATTTGGCAAAATCTTCTATGTAGGAAATACCCAAGGGCATGATGGGAGTTTCACCAATTCCACGTATAATATTTCCTACTACTACATATATCCACATTAGTGATTTAATTTCTTTCACACATTCTGCATGAAAACAAAAGAAAATTGCACGAGTATTTTGACAGTCAAGTGTTACTGACAGTTACTTCAAAAGTTTTTCTAAGCCTTTCTCAGGTCACAAACCCACAATGACTATTCAGTGACTTGCCTTACTTACTAAACTGTCTATAAATTTGTAACTCACCCCTACTGCTTGTCTTAAAAGATTACCTAGCAATGGACTATAAGTGCTATGCTGCAAACAATTTCCTCTTTAGTAGGGGAGATGACTCTACAGATGGATGCCTCTTCCTGATTCAGTCGTTAGTGGCAGCACATTTGTTGTGAGAATTTACACCACAGAAATAGGCAAACCATAAAACCTAGGCATTTCCCTCACCTCCAGGGACTCAGTTTTCCACCAACCAGTGTCCACTGCCTCATTCCTCCACGACTTTGAGGAAGGAAAAAGAAGCACACATGTGTGTATATATCTGACAATTAATGCTGTGTGACGCAACACAGAGAAGACTGATGGAAGTTTGAACTCCACACAGCCACAATTGCTTCTTAAAAACTAAATATTTTCATTGAATAGTAACCATATTTTTCTATAGATTCCACTTTTTAGTATCAAACAATTCCTCCAATGCACCAAGCAGCATGTAATCGGTAAAATAAGACAAACTAAGCCAAATTGACTTGAAAGGCAAAAGGAGAAATCTTTGAAGGTTGCATGAACCTCCCAATTTTTTTCTAAGCTAAATGAACTTCCACTCCCTAAGGAAGCTTGGCACTGTGTTTTCAGAGAAGTGAAGGACAATGTACTCTCTTCTGTGAACTGGCCAGAGGCTGCCGTTAAATGTCCTAAGCACAACTGAGACATGAGATCTAACTGTTACTTATTCCTGGTTAAAGTAAAATCAGTTTCTGTTGCTAAGAATTAAGATTCATATCTTTGATAAACACAATGATTTCTGCCTTCAGATCACAGAAAAATGTCAACTTGTAAGGCAGAACTGAAGGCATCAGACACTGAAAGAATCAAGTGCTTTCCTTAGGCTCTGCACATGGGGAAGATTTTAATTCATCTACTGCAATGCAAGGAGTACAAGGGGTGGCTTTTCAAAAGTTGGTTCAGGAGGTGAGAAGGGGCTAGCTTTGAGGACACTGCTTCAGGTGTCTTTGCTTAGAGGGCTGCTGTGTCACTGAGCTTCAAGATGGCTGCGCTTTGACCCTCGAGTTATTTTGATCTCCACAGACTCCCTGGGAGCAGTAACATTCCAAGCCTTGAAGGCTGCTGCAAATTCTGTAGCATGGATCTAGCATAAGATAAAGGAGCTCTGGCCTGAGGTGATTCTGCTGAGACAGTTCTAGACTAAATGTTCAGAAGACATGCTGGTTGCTTTAGCATATGTGACATTAGGAATACTTTTTAAATGTATATCTAAATGGGTGCATGTACCTTTATGAGCATTTGTGCACATTGCGTGTGCAGGTGCGCAAGAGGGCCAGAAAAGGACACTCAGTTCCCCAGAACTGGACTCACAGGGTGTTGTGAGTACCCCGATATCACTGCTGGGAACCAAGCAGGCCCTCTGTAAGAATTGTATGGTGCTCTGAACCAAATTATCCCCCAAGAGTCCCTAGAATTAAATATTTACCCTCCAGTTGGTGGTGCTACTGGAGAGGTGGAGGAAGAGTGTGACTGGAGATGGACTTCACAGGCTCAAAGCCTTACCCTACTTCCAGTTTGCATTCTCTGCCTTATGCTTATAGCTGAGATGTGAGCTTCTAACTTCCTTCTTCTGCTGCCTTTCTTTCTACCATGATTGGTTCTCATCCCTCTAGAAGAGTGGTTCTCAACCTCTGTGTCATGACTCCGTTGAGGGTCTAGTGACCCATTTACAGAAGTCACCTAAGATCATCTAAAAACATAGACATACATTACGATTTATAGCAGTAGCAAAATTACAGTTATGAAGCAGCTATGAAAATAATTTATGGTTGTGGGTCACCACAACATAAGGAACTATATTATACAATCATAGCATTAGGGAGGTTGAGAACCTGCTCTACCACCATAAGCACAAATAAACTTTCTTGTGTAAGTTCCCTTGGTCCTGGTGTGCTATCAAAGTCAAAGAAAAGTAAATAACAGATACAGTAAGTACTTTTACACAGCATCCGGCTGTGTCTCTGAGGCAGGTCACTATGGTTCCAAAATAATCATCAATGGACTAATCTTTTTATGAAGTCAAGAGACTGACACTAGTGAGAAAGAAATACCGAAAGGTAGGAGGTGGGTATAATTGAAGGAGGTTGGTCTCAGGGATGGCATGTCCAGAGAAGCTATATTACACCACTTCCTGTATCTTGCTTCCCATCCTTCCTCCCCACCAAGAAGTGAGGAAGATCATCACCAACATGCATGTCACCATGATACTCTGTCCATAAACATGGAGCCAAGTGACCGTGAGCTGACGCCTCTAAAACAGTGAATGAAAACAAACCTTCCCTTGAGTTATTCTTTGGGATTTGGACCTCAGTGATGGGAAAGTTACTAATACAGCATATGAAGGGCAGGAGCCAGGACCACAGTGCCTGGGGCTACAGAAAATAATGGAACACCACTGGAGGGTTGGACTGCAAAGTAATGTCTCTGTTAAAGAGGGAAGAGGAGACTGAAAACAAATTCCTGGTAATTAAGGAATTCTGCACTGTGACACAGGCAGTGTATCAGGTACACAGGACAGATCTGGGGAAGCCTCTTTCTGGCTGTGTTTCATATTTGTATAATCAGTGTCCTGGCTAATTTTCGTCAACTTGACACAAATCTAGACATACCTGAGAAGAAGGAATCTCAGTTAGAGAACTGCCTTTATCAGACTGGCCTGTGGGAATGTCTAATGAGGCATTTTCGTCTTGGGTAATTGATGAAAGATAGGGTAGACTACTGTGGACAGTAGAAGACCTGGACAGATTGGCCTATGCTGTATAAGAGAGGTAACGGGGCACTCTGGTATGCAAGACTCGGTGGTGCTCTCTGCTTTGGTCTCTGCCTCCGTGTCCCCGCCTTGACTTTCCTCATGGTGGGCAACAATTGGTAACCTAGATACACTTTGTTTTACCTGAGTTGGTTTAGTCCATGCTTTATTACAGCAAAAGAAGGCCAAACTATATCAATCACATAGATCTCACCATGTGTCTAAATTCATGCTTCTAAGTCATTTTCCTTGTGGGAATAACTCTACAATTGTTCTGGAGTGGATGTCTTTGACTTGTTTTTAAAATACCTGCTTTAAGAAACAAGGGAGTCTAAATAAGTATATTCCAACTCAGGAGGCAGATTATCCTGTTATTAGACAATTTCCTTCCCTGAAGAGGTAAATGAAGTTTGTTCATTGTCTTAGATGCCCACTAAGCCCACTGTCACATTCAAAGCCCTTCATGAAAGAGTATTCTCTGACCCAGTCTCTGAGCAGAAGCAATAAGAACCATTAGTCAACCTTTTGGGTCAGGTGTTGGCATTAAGGTGTGGGTTCTGTTTCCTGAACACAAGAAGCTGTTTGAGGACAAGTTGCTTGAAGGTGAAATTGTTGTTTCGTATTCGTATCTGTGTGGACACATGAAACATTCAATGTGAGGAACTGAGTACAATGAGAGCATCTGCAGATTAGTGACTCCTGCTTCCCTGAAAACATAGCATCCAGAGCCTGTAAAGACATGATTCCACAGCAGTCATTCTAATCATCATAAACCCTATTGCAGGGGCAGCAAGAGGACTCAGCAGGCAAAAAAGAACTTGCTGTACAAACCTGATGGCCTGACTTCAGTCTCTGGAAATCACATAAAGGTGGAAACTGAGGAATGATTCCAGAGTAGTCCCCAGAAATTTTTGTGTACACCACACACCATGCATACACAAACACGTATAAACACATGCACACACACATGAAACACATATGCATACATAAATACACGTGCACACATGAAAAAAGAAGGAAAGGAAAGAAGGAAGGGAGAGAGACAGAGAGAGAGAGAGAGAAAGAAACCTGCCTCCCAGTATACTGCTCAGAGTCCCCTGAGGCCTGGGGACAGCATGGGTGGGAGGAAACCTGTATCCAGAGTCTACCAAAATCGTGGTGCTAGTCCCACCTCCACGGATGGGAGGAGGTGAGCGTGGGCCTGTTTCCAGCTCTCCTTCTGGCACCCTGCTTAGAGCCTCCTCAAGCCTGGGGACTGCACACAGGGGAACTCATCCTGGTGTCCAGGCCTTCCAGAGTCTGCCAACATTGCGGTACTAGTCCCGCCTCCTCCCACAGAAAGAGGAGATCCATCAGAAGACAACCTTGGACCTGTAGGCACCAGGAGAGGAAAAGACCCCACCAGCACCCACTGGAAGAAGGGATGGGAAGACGACAGTATAAGAACACATTCAACAATGGAAAGATCAATATGACACCACCAGAGTCTAGGGGTGCCACACCAGCAAGACCTGAACATCCCAACATAGATGAAGCAGAAGAGAATGACCCTAAAAACAACTCTATGATGATTATAGAGACTCTCAAAGAGACAATGAGAAAATCCCTTAAAGAAATAGAGGAAAAAATAACAAACAAAAAAATTTAAGAAATGTCTTTTTGAGTCAACTGACCTGCAGAGGATGCCAGACCCTACCAAATCCCAAAGAGGGACCTGGAAACTCCCCTTCCTGCCTTGCTCTTTCACCCTCCAACAGAGACAGGAGTTCTAGGGGCTCCTACAGCCAACCTTTCCCTCTTGGAGTCCCCTGACCTGTGGCCGGCAGACCCTTCCTGCAACTGAATACCACAGAGGGACCTGGAGGTTCCCATTGCTACCTTGCCCCTCCACTCTCCAATAAGAAGAGAGAGAGGGAGAGGGCCGGGGGACCTCAAGGCAGCAAAAAAACATCCACCATCGATCAGAATTCCTTTCTTGCCCTTGCACCATCCAGGAAAGAGGAGAGCATTGACCTTTGTACCCATACCCACCAGAGGAGGGAGAGACCCCACCTATACCCACTGGAAGAAGGGATGGGAAGACAACAGTATAAGAATACATCCAACAACAAAAAGACTTAAATGCTATCACCAGAATCTAAGTACACCCACACCACCAACACCTGAACATCCCAACACAGATGAAACAAGAGAATGACCTTAAAAACAACTTCATGAATATCATAGAGGACCTCAAAGAGGATATGAGGAAAATCCCTAAAGAAATGGAAGAAAAATCAAACCAAAAAAATGCAAGAAATCAACAAATCTCTTGAAGAAAGCCAAGAAAAAACAATCAAACAGATGGAGGAAACATTTCAAATAGTTCAAGACCTGAAAACTGAAATAGATACAATAAAGAAAACACAAACTGAGGAAATGCTAGAAATAAAAAAGCTGAGTAAACTATCAGGAACTACAAAGGCAAGCATAACAAACAGAATACAAGAGATGGAAGACAGAATCACAAGCACTGAAGAAAAACTAGAGGAAATAGATTCATCAACCAAAGAAAATGTTAAATCCAACAAATCCTTAACACAAAATATCCAGGAAATATGGGACACTGTGAAAAGACCAAACCTAAGAATACTAGGTATAGAAGAAGGTGAAGAAGCCCACAGAAAACATACTCAACAAAATCAGAGAAGAAAACTTTCCCAACCTGAAGAAGGACACGGCTATGAAGGAACAAGAAGCTTGCTGAACACCAAATAGACTGGACCAAAAAAAAAAGTCCCCTCCACACATAATAATCAAAACACCAAACATACAGAATGAAGAAAGAATATTAAAAACAGCAAAGGAAAAGGCTACGTAACATATAAAGTTAGATCTATCAGAATTACACCCAACTTCTCCATTGAAACCCTAAAAGCCAGAAGGACCTGGATAGATGGTCTACAAACACTAACAGTCCATGGATGCCAGCCCAGACTACTATACCCAGCAACATTCTCAGTTACTACAGGATATTCCATGACAAAACCAGACTTACACAATACATATAAACAAATTCAGCCCTACAGAAAGTTCTGGAGAAAACTCCAACCCAAGGAAGTCAGCTACACTCAGAAAAACATAGGCAACAGATAATCTCACTTTACCAAAAGCCAGAAATAGGGGGAAAACTCACACACAATATACAAAGGCACCCACATTTGTAAAGGAAACATTCCTAAAACCCAAATCACATACTAAAAACCACACATTTATAGTGGGAGACTTCAACACTCCACTCTCACCACTAGAAAGGACCACCAGATGGAAACGTAACAGAGAAACAAAGGAACTAATGGAAGTTATGACCCAATTGGGATTAACAGACATCTATAGAACACACAATCCAAACACAAAAGATTATACCTTCTTCTCAGTGCCACATGGAACCTTCTCTAAAATTGACCACATACTTGGCAACATACCAAACCTCAACACATACAAAAAAATTGGAATAACCTCCTGTATCCTATTAGATCACATGGATTAAAGTTAGAATTCAGCAACAATACAAATAGCAGAAAACCTACAAACTCATGGAAATTGAACAATGTGCAATTGCACCATTCCTAGGTCAAGGATGAAATAAAGAAAAAAATTAAAGGCATCCTGAAATTTAATGAGAATGAAGAAACAACATACCCAAACTTATGGGACACTTTAAAAGCAGTGCTAAGAGGAAAGTTTATAGCACTACGTGCCCACAAAGAGACACTAAAGAATAGTCACATTAGAAGAGAATTAACAGCACAAGTGAAAGCTCGAGAACAAAAAAAAAAAAAGCAAACTCACCCCGGATGAATAGACGACAGGAAATAATAAAAATGAGGGCTGAAATCAATAAAGTAGAAACAAAGAATCAATGAGACAAAGAGTTGATTTGCTCAGAAAATCAACAAGATAGACAAACCTTTATCCAAACTTACCAAACGGCAGAGTGTGAACATGCCAATTAACAGAATCAGAAATGAAAAGGGAGACATAACAATGGACACTGAGGAAATCCAGAGAATATTTAGGTCATACTTTCAAAGCCTGTACTCCACAAAATTCGAAACTTTAAAATACATGAACAATTTCCTATAGATATCACTTACCAACATTAAATCAAGAACAGATCAGCAATTTAAATAGACTTATAACCCTAATGAAACATAAGGAGTCATCAAAAGTCTCCCAACCAAAAAAGCCGAGGGCCAGATGTTTCAGTGCAGAATTTTACCAGATATTCAAAGAACAACTAATATCAGTACTCTTCAAAGTATTCCACGCAATAGAAGCAGAAGGGTCTTTGCCAAACTCTTTCTATGAGTCTTCAATAACCTTGAATCCCAAGCCACACAAAGACACAACTAAGAGAACTTCAGACCAATATCCCTCATGAACATTGATGCAAAAATACTCAATAAAACTCTGGCAAATCTGATCCAAGAACACATCAAAATAATCATTCACCATGATCAAGTAGGTTTCATCCCAGAGATGCAAGGATGGTTCAACATACGAAAATCCATCAATGTAATCCACCATATAAACAAGCTGAAAAACAAAAATCACATGACCAACTCACTAGATGCTGAAAAAGCCTTTGACAAAATCCAACACCCCTTCATGATAAAGGTCTTAGAGAGATCCGGGATAACATGAACATATTTAAACATAATAAAAGCTATATACAGAAAACCAACAGCCAACATCAAACTAAATGGACAGAAACTCAATGCAATTCCTCTAAAATTAGGAACAAGACAAGGCTGTCCACTCTCTCCATACCTTTTCAACATTGTACATGAAGTTCTAGCCAGAGCCATACGACACAAAAGGAGATCAAGGGGATACAAATTGGGAAGGAAGAGGTCAAACTTTCACTATTTGCAGATGATACGACAGTTTACATAAATAACCCAAAGAACTCTACCAGGCAACTCTTACAGCTGATTAACACCTTCAACAAAGTGGCAGGCTACAAGATCAACTCAAGAAAATCAGTAGCCCTACTATATACAGATGATAAAAGGGCTGAGAAAAAAATCAGAGAAACATCACCCTTTACGATTGCCACAAACAACATAAAATACCTTGGGGTAACGCTAACCTAACAAGTGAAAGACCTGTATCACAAGAACTTTGAATCTTTAAAGAAAGAAATTAAAGAAACCGTCAGAAAATGGAAAGATCTCCCATGCTCTTGGATAGGTAGGATCAATGTAGTAAAAACGGCAATCCTGCCAAAAGCAATCTACAGATTCAATGCAATCCCCATTAAAATCCCAGCACAATTCTTCACAGACCTTGAAAGAATAACCAATTTTGTATGGAAAAACAAAAGACCCAGGATACCCAAAACAACCCTGTTCAACAAGGCAACGTCCGGAGGCATCATCATCCCTGACTTCAAGCTCTATTATAGAGTTATAGTCCTGAAAACAGCTTGGTATTGGCACAAAAATAGACAGGTAGACCAATGGAATCGAATTGAAAACCCTGATATTAACCCACAAAGAAGCTAAAAATATACAATGGAATGAAGAAAGCATCTTCAACAAATGGTGCTGGCATAACTGGAGGCAGGCATGTAGAAGAATGCGGA